CAAGTTTATCACTTTCTCGAATCGAATCAATGGGTAGAGATTTTCAGCTTCTGMGTATTCTCATTCTCCTTCTTTCTGGGTTTGTAGCTTCAGCTCCTTCAACAAACTCTCCTGCGAGTAAGTACTTCTCACAAATCTCCTCTCTTTCGATTTTAGGTTTCGTCATTTGCTTAAATTGTTTCGAAATCTCACTTTTTTCTCGCAGAGATTGTTAGTGGGTTTATCTCAAATCACGGCTCTTCTCTAATGAAATGGTTATGGTCACTCAAAACCACCACCAAAACAAGTTCGATTTCTCTCCCCTTTTGTTCCAAGATCATGTTTTTTTTTTTTTTTGCCTTTCACTTTCCCAGATTTGGTTTTTGTTTGAACAATTTGATTCGGTTTCAGCAATTGCAACGAGATCGATGGTGAAATTCGAGAATGGGTATACAGTAGAGACTGTATTCGACGGAAGCAAACTCGGAATCGAACCTTATTCGATTGAGGTTTCACCTAACGGAGAGTTACTTATTCTTGATTCTGAGAATAGTAACATCTACAAGATCTCATCTTCTCTTTCACTGTGTAAGCATCAATCTTGAAGAGATTCTCTGTGATGGTTTGAATTTGTCTTCACCTAAAACTGAATGCACATGGACTGTATTTGTACAAAGATGCTGCATATGGAAAATTTTGATGGAATTTTTTTTGTTGGTACTTTAATCACAATTTCGTCTGAGCTATATTACTATTTTATGGAGATTTGCTGTATATCTTTGTCGTATCTGGACTATGGAGTGAGTTTGTCGGGGATGAATCAGTATACTGGTATAATTTTTTAGTACTTTTTTTTTCTCTTTTTGATTGCTGAATCTGACTTTTTCAAAGATGAGATCTAAACAAAAGTGTTTCTTATCGGTTGCTCAAGAATAGAAACAAAGCTTTTATCTTAAGGTCACAACTATTTGATGTAGTATAATATAAAGTGAAATGTGTTTCTATGTGAGTTTTATTTATATGGGAACTATTGGAAACACTTGCAGATAGTAGG